CAAAAGGATTCTCGTACTCAGCATTTTTTACCAGTTGATAATCATAAAATTGATTAGTTATAAGACTACTGTTTTTGAAATTAAGAAATAAATATCCCAGTTGGGTCGAAGTAGATCACAACAAACTGAAAGCCTACGCTGCATAAGTCTGTGAGACACGTTTATCTTTTGTGTGACAAATTTTTGGAGAAATCAAACTCCATATTTCGTGATATTTTCATTCGAATAACTGGATCGATTTGTTTACCTTCAACTTGCTATAGCTCACTTCAGCAACATAAATTCCACTATAAGAGAGTAATAGTCCTAATAATGGAGTAACAATGACAGGTATCCATGCATGCCATTATAATATGAATTTGTAATCTACAAAATAATCGAAGGTGACAAGTGCATATCAAAACTTTTGCGTAAAAGTTGGTCTAACATGCATTTAAGATGACAAAAAATATACATTATAAACGAAAGGTCAGACTTACTTGACATCCTCAAGGTATTTAGAAGTAAGAGTAAAGTTTGATCGGAAGTCTTTCCACAACCTAGACTTGATTAATTTATCGTGTGGAAATTGGACTTCCATAATGACAGTTTCATCTTCATAGCGATTAAGATATTCCTTTAACAGACTGGCAAACCCTGTTGGTTCATTTTGACCACCCTCCTCATTAGAGATGGAAATAACTAGAAAATAAAAAACGTATGCGCTTTGTGATGTACTGACCAAATAAAAGCTATTGTATGCTCACAAGTCTGCCTCTGATTCTCAATTTTTCATTATTAGTACAAGGACAAAAGATATTTTGACAGCAAACAACTCTGATAAAAATAATAATCCATAAGGTTTGCAGCGGTAGGTAATGCAATGTTAGAAATGCCATTAATTTTCGCGAAGTATTGACGTCCTAAACAGGGATGTCCAACACACATCCCAGTTATCCGAGTAGAATAATGTCTACCACCTGATTAACTAACTTGCCTCTGTTATCTAAGACTACGTTTGGCTCCTACTTTACTAATGTGGTGGTTCCGCGACAAGGTTTAGGCTAAAAAGACAAGTGTGAACGAACAGCAAAGTATTTTCGTAGCCTAAAGCCGTTAGCACCTATGTTTCACAGCTAGATGGAAGGAAAGAGAGAACTGCGGCACGGTACACTTGAACCTTAGAAGACTGTCGAATATGATTCGTCAGTGCTCATTAGTTGTTCAAGTAATAATAAATATGTATTGGTAAATTTGTTAAAGCATTCACGAAGTTAAGAGAAATTTGCAGAGGGAAGAACAAAGTATACTTACCGAAAGGCTTTTCCGACCACTTTAGTTCTGATTGTCCCATTTTTAGAGGTCGAGTTGTTTTTGACAGAGACGCACTTTTTGATGGGAAATTGTTGTCATCATCAACTTTCAGATTTGAGATCAAGCCAGTTACTTCATCAGCAGTAGTTGAAGCATCATCGTTCCTCAGATCGTCATCCACTGCTTTTGTCAAACGACCAGAATCGATTTTCGACAAATGACTGGAAAGACAATCTGCAAAACCCTGATGAAATTCATCAACATTGCATGAAATACACCCTAAAAAATGAAGCACACGGAAAAGACTGACAGCAACAGGACATTAAACAGATTATTACTTATAGGATTTGAATGCAATCACACAAAATTGTACAGCGCTGCGCTGAGACTTGACATGACAAGCAGTCATATGAAGAACTGAAAACGAAATTATTCACTAAACAACAGACAAGATTTATACACAGAGCTTTCAGCCAAATATGCTACCCACACAACATAACAAAGCTAAGCAAAATAAAACACCTAAAAATAGCAATACCTTTAGAAACATCTTCACACCGCATAACTTTTTGATCGTCTGGAATGGCCTGTGAAGCGCTAGTCAAATCTGGAAGTTTTGCTGCCGAAGAATGCTTACGGAAACGCAAGCACTCGCAGCAGTAGATGCACACGACGAACAAATTCCAACCGGAGCAAGCGGATCATTTCTAATAGAACTGCTTCCATTTGACATACAACTGCTGACACCACTGACAAGTGGGAATCCTGAAACACCTGCACAAGCAACACATGTCCCTTCCTCTTCTTCTCCTTGATATGCGTCCCAGCGACATCCAAATAACGGATAGAATCCATTTCTAGAAAACATCATTTTTTAAAAACAAGAAAAACCTGACTGGTGCTAAAGCTACGAAAAAATTACTAATATAACTAAAGATAAAATACATAGGGTAGTTGTATTTTAAAGTCTACGTACTGAAATCAGTTACTCACGGAAGAGCAGAATAAATAGTGGTGAGTATCAATGCTTTCGGATTTCTAGCGGACCTGCACCTATGTCTACTTCGACCTTGCCAATCACGTAGTATCATTTGCCTTCATGTGATTGATAGCCTAGTGCATGAATACATGTACCGAATTGAGCTTCATTACACTCATCATTATTACTTATACTGATATGTAAGATAAAATTTCAATATAAGCTATTGTTTCCGGAGTTATTTGTGAAAATTCTGATTCTAGTATATTCATAAGAATCATCCTCTATAGACAAACACCTTTGTAGGACTAATTAACTCAGTTATTACTCAGCTAGAGATTATTGACTGAGGAGCATTCTCTGTGGTTTTTCTGCTCAAGGAATGCTACAGATCAAACTATTCATAATTCTTTTATGAAGACCGAAGTTGCTACTTTTATCCCTTTAGCTACACCGGAATATGGTGGTGCAATCAGTGAAACTCAAATCATATTCCGTTCAAATAACTACTAAAACTATTGTCCTAGGATTCCCTATCTTCAACCTACTTTACTGGTAGATGGAATGGTTTACAATTAGCAAAGACTACGCATAACGTGACCACTAAAGACCACTGTGATACACTGGTAAATTCTGTCAAATCAAAAAGGATTCTCGTACTCAGCATTTTTTACCAGTTGATAATCATAAAATTGATTAGTTATAAGACTACTGTTTTTGAAATTAAGAAATAAATATCCCAGTGGGGTCGAAGTAGATCACAACAAAACTGAAAGCCTACGCTGCATAAGTCTGTGAGACACGTTTATCTTTTGTGTGACAAATTTTTGGAGAAATCAAACTCCATATTTCGTGATATTTTCATTCGAATAACTGGATCGATTTGTTTACCTTCAACTTGCTATAGCTCACTTCAGCAACATAAATTCCACTATAAGAGAGTAATAGTCCTAATAATGGAGTAACAATGACAGGTATCCATGCATGCCATTATAATATGAATTTGTAATCTACAAAATAATCGAAGGTGACAAGTGCATATCAAAACTTTTGCGTAAAAGTTGGTCTAACATGCATTTAAGATGACAAAAAATATACATTATAAACGAAAGGTCAGACTTACTTGACATCCTCAAGGTATTTAGAAGTAAGAGTAAAGTTTGATCGGAAGTCTTTCCACAACCTAGACTTGATTAATTTATCGTGTGGAAATTGGACTTCCATAATGACAGTTTCATCTTCATAGCGATTAAGATATTCCTTTAACAGACTGGCAAACCCTGTTGGTTCATTTTGACCACCCTCCTCATTAGAGATGGAAATAACTAGAAAATAAAAAACGTATGCGCTTTGTGATGTACTGACCAAATAAAAGCTATTGTATGCTCACAAGTCTGCCTCTGATTCTCAATTTTTCATTATTAGTACAAGGACAAAAGATATTTTGACAGCAAACAACTCTGATAAAAATAATAATCCATAAGGTTTGCAGCGGTAGGTAATGCAATGTTAGAAATGCCATTAATTTTCGCGAAGTATTGACGTCCTAAACAGGGATGTCCAACAAATATAGATATATAATCAAACAGTACGAGCGTTCGATTACTAACCGAAATTTAATAACTCCACAGGCTTAGACAAGTTTCTCTTCACAACACACTCCAACATAACACCGGACATTACTGAACAACCATCCGTGTTCCCACACCTCATATCACGATATCAAGCGATAAAGCACTAAGATGGAAGATAGAGAAACAAAGAAGTATCGGTCAAAAACAGTAGAGAGTAGTAAACGATAGGAAGGAGGAATAAGAAAATACTGTGCCCAGTATGGTGATTAAGACGAGGATAATGTCGTGATACATACGGGCCATTGAGATCGATTGTGAACCATGTCACATAGAGTCTCCAACCACTACTTTCTGATTTCACGCAGAATCAAACGGAAAAATCTACATTTCCTTACACCACTCAGAGCTACAGTCAAACACTTCATGCAATGATGCCATATTTTAGTCTGGGCGCCACTAACCTTTTCTAACTTAAACCTACTTCAGTCAACATTGTGAGACGAGGCAGACAGTGACCAGGCACGTGTAACACATGTCCCAGCTAACTGAGTCAGTCGATGAACGTTCACAACCCCATCAACCTACCTTCCCCTCCTATCGAAACTCTACACCTCACTTCTGCATTACCGACACAGTGAAACCAAGACGCACGGCTTATGCTACGAAAGCAACAGGAGTAAAACAATCGGGACCTTTTCAGATCCTCTACCTTTAATGGCCATCTGTCTCACAACCACACAGTAGAACTGAAGCGAACGAAGTACAGTCGACGCTTAATAGACAATCGGATATCACGACGGCGCCTTAAATGACGTAAGTTGGCGGAAGTTGATCGAGCCTTTTGTACCTGAGAAGAGATTTTGTTGGTCACTGACTGACCCACCAAGGCTGATCCGACTTCCTTGATATGTGGAGCAGTCAGCACGCTCAACCGCTGCACTCCCTATTGTTGAACGAGGGAGGCACCAGTTAAGACCAGTCCTGGAGCCAAAATTCGCATTTAAATGGTGAGAAGAGCATCACAAACATTCTCAAATCGTCACTCAAGGTGTCCAGAAGACTCTGAATGTTGTCAGCATCTTCACCTAAAAGGACTATATCATCTGTATACTCTAATTCTACCAAGGATTCTCCTGTAACAAGACCAACCACTATAGATTCAGATGACGAGAGGGAGACCTCTATAAGTACGTCAGTGATAAATCTGAAGGGGAATGGAGAGAGTGGACATCTTTGACAGACACCACTCGACGTGCACAACTCACCATAGGCTCTAACATGCCCACGGGTGTTCGAGTACAGAGCTTTCAGCAATGGTGTACTTACTCGCCACCCCTTTCAGTGAGAGACATAACCATAAGACCCCTCGATCGACATAGTCGAATGCCGCCTTTACAACCAGTGTCGGGAGTCGTTAAGTATGCCTGTGTTACAAAACCTGGTGGAGGATGGATATCTGGTCAGTACACCCACGACCAGGTCTGAGGCCTGCTTGATTTTCTCAGGTTTGCTGTTCCCGAGCTTCACCTACACATCTGATTATTATCGAACCTGGAATCCTAGACACTATGCCCGTCAGGCTGATTCCCCTGTGGTTAGCACGAGTGGACTTCTCGCCTTCCTTGAAAACTGGAACAATCAGTGATTGAGACAAGTCAAAAGGTATCCTTTCCGACTCCGACACACCAGTTAAAACTTCAGTTAACCTGACTGAAAATCCTCTACATCCGTCCTTAAATACTCTTTTCATACTACTCCGTCTCACCCTGCTGCTCTTCCCCGTCTCAGACTACTCATATTACAACCTTCTTGACTTCTCTAAGTGTGGGAGTCCCATTTCAATGTTCCATTCAGGACCCTACCCGATACTGGGCTATTCAATAGCAGCTGGAGGCCAGTCGATCTATTTCACTCGTCGCCCCAACCAGTCGTCTTCCCTGTGAGTGAATCACAGACCCAACTTTCTCCACTATAGTCTCACTAAGCACTGACCTTCACCCCCCCCTCCCCCAGTTCCCTTCATAAGTGTAAGTAACTGTCTACTGTTACTCATCGCCATCGCCTTTTCCATTTCTTTAGCCTCCACCAACCACAACTACTCGCGGTCACCGCGTAAAATTCCTGTCAGTTTACATTTCAGTTGCTTCCACTCCTCACTGTACTCGGAGCCTGTAGACATGCGTTAGCGTGCATCCACTAATTCAGAGAAAGTTTCTGAGATAGACTGACTATTGCTAACCACCTTGTGACAGCCGGCTATGGTCTTCAACGCTGCTTTCACAACAGATTGAAGGTGGCACCAAGCCTCTTCTGGATGAGTGATGTTGGTCCGTAACGATAACTGTTTAGTCAGTTTCTTGCTGAAGCCATCATTTGTATTCCCATTGTCGAGCTGCTGAGTGTTCTTAGGTACAATTGTGCCTGCGTTTGAACCAACGCAAATGCTCCAGAAGGAGCAGCAATCTCTGACCGTCACGCTCCTGAGATAACTCAGCAATATGATCTATCTGTGTCCACTACCTGGTTGATGTTGGCAGATTCCACGTCAAGTTATATCTGTCCTTGTGTCTGAAGTTCGTGTTAGACAGAAATAGATGGTTGCCCGACTAAATTTGACAGGCGGTCACCGCTATCTGTCTGTTCCTCTGGGATCCCAAAAGTGCCATCCAGTTAGCTTTCTTCTTGACTCGACTTAGCCTACCCACTTGTGCACTGAAATCACCTGCTATAACAACGACTTATGAATGTTTGGCTTTAAGAAGGGAGCTAGACAGTTTTCAGTAGAACTCATAATCCACTTCTTCCGAACTCCAATCAGTGGGTGGATAAGCAGAGATTACAAACAAACAACGGCGATTTTCGCCTTTCTCTTCAGCCCTCACTGTACTGTTCAGTCGAACAGCTCATGGGCGACCGTCAACTGGGATACAGTTGATCAATGCACTTTCTGCCTTAGCACTCAATGCTATGCCTACACCTGCAAGGACACGAGAACTGGTCATCAAATCTCCAGAAACCCGAAGGATGCATTTTCGAATTCACCATCTTGATCGGGTGAGATTAGGTGAATAGCCACACTTGCATCCTGTATGCGTGTCTCGGAGACACAGCACACATGCATGACTCGAGATGCCAGAGTTCGGGTTAGTGAAGCTTGTTGACCGGTTCGACGGAGAGTGCAGGCATTGGAAGCTCTAATGTATAGTTTGGAGCGCGGTCTCAGGGGACCAGATGTACTACTCCATGATCTCCGACCGTTATCAATGACCACAGAGGTGGAAGAAACTAAAGGTGATTTAGGAATGTTGACCGAGAGGAATGAAGGTAGATTAGAAATTAAGGGTGTGGAAGGCTGACGATGATATGAAGGGAATTGAGTGAGTGCCGACAGAGTTGTGAGGGCGACTGACCCATCCTGGTCGCTCCCACTGTGGAGGGTTACTTTTTCTTAAGGCATCTGAAAAAGAAACTCGGTCGGCACTAGTGGTGCATGATGGCAGAGTTCAGAGTATGTCCGGTTGAGGTAGGTGACAAACGACCTTACCAGAAGTTTGATAGTTTACGTTGGTTCTCCTGAATCCTATTATGAACCCGCATCGGTGTGCCATGAGGTAAAGTGGTGTGCTATTTTTGGGACCAACCTTTTCTACTCCTCCCTGCTTCCAATAGGGAAGACAACTTCAGTGTTGCACTTCGGATCATCTATGGGAAACATCTTATTGACGTCACACATATTGTCCAGTCAGAAATACCACTTCACTGCCAGATCCCATCACAGCAAAGTAATTTACAAGATAAGAGTAACTGACTATTTTTATCACTCTCTGACACATTTTTCTGAGAGAGTAAGATTTCGAGGGAACAAGTGTTGCAGTAGCATCGCCCCTTTAGGTGATATTCAATATAATTTACCTTCATAATAGGTCTTGTTTTCCCATGTATTTTCATTGCAGAACAAAATAACTGTGAGTATTGGAACAGGGCTGCTATGAGACAATTTCAGTTGGAAGAATTGGTTATTAGAACATAGTAGCACTACTTTGTTATGTAAATGTGTCACTTTTCTTAGTTCAAACTTCACATTTTGTGTTCAGAAAAACCTTTTTTATAGATGCTTTAGACACCCTAGTTAAGATTTACAAAGGCTGTCTCTCAGTAGGACAAGAAAACTTTTTCCTGCTTCCAAAATGATCATGTTAAAGGCAACGAAGTTTTACGATTTGCAGTAGCGAAAGTCAGTCAGTTGTTTTTACTCTGTGATAAGATTGAAAGGTGAAGCTCATTTACATATTCGATATGTCTTACACGATGATTCTACTAAGCGTGAGAAATGCTACGAAGACACCTGTACTCGAAAACCTGTAACCCGTTCATATCTTGAACTTTCAGAGACCATGTTTCGCAGCCGTATAGTAAGATAAATTAGAATGTCGTTCAATGCACTCTTCATTTGATTTTCAACCCATTATCTTTTGGATCATATGATTGCGAGGATTGTCTGCATTTGCTAATGGTTTTCTTTGTATGCGGCCTGTGATTTACTGAGGAATCAACCGAGGTGTTCTCGTACAACTTCTCAGGTGAGTGAGGTGGTCAATCGTTTCATCAATTTCGCTCGTATTGCTGCACTGGAGGTTGGTGAAGACGCGC